AACAAAGATACGATTGTTGGATTATTAAAATTCTGACATTATATTAAAAAAAATATTTCAATCTAAAAATATTAAATTGTTGAATAAAGTTTAATAAGTGGTTTTATATTATTTTTTAAAACTAAAAAAAAAAAAAGTCAAACTAAAGAGAATGGGGACAAAAATGCCACTTGAACTACAAAATCATTAGCCTCTACAGACTTTAATATATTGTTAAGTCATTATTAAACTTGCATTACATTATTTCCTTGATCTCGTATCATGTGGTTGATTAAGACAAATTTTAAGGGTGTTTAATACAAATGAAATCCTTTTTTTTTTTTTTTTTTAATTTGATTGAAATAATTAATTGGAAAAAATAAAAGCAATGTGATTGTTCTGTTAAGGACACGTACCAATGCCATTGTAAACTTGTTCAATTGTTTATTTCGGTCTCCCAACTCAAGAACAAGAAAGTAATTAATTGAATAATGTCTAATACGTGTTGAATGCGCAGTTTGCTGTCTTGTTTGACTTGAATTTTAAGATTTGCAATTAAAGATTTCTAGTGAATAAATAAAACGTTAATTTGATTAAATTAATAAAAGAGTAATATAAAATTCTAACACTCTCGTTTTCTTTTTGCTCTCTGGATCCCTATCTTCATACAGGTTTCCATTCTGGTCAAATTTGAAATCTTAAGCTTGATTTACTTGGCAAGTGGAATCGAACTAGGGTCTTCTAACAAAAGGTCTGCTAATGGAAAGCTCAAGTAGTTTAACCTAAAAAAAACTTAATTTTTATGTTTAGCTCAAATCCAATTATTCAAACATTGATGACATGATATGATCCTAATGATAAATAAGCATTCTTCTTCAATTATAAATACTAATCTTATAGCAATTATGAAGGAGCTTTTGACATTTTTGCAATATTTTAATTTTTTAACCCTTAGCAATATTTCTAAAATTTCTTTATCTTCTCATAACTCTTCTACTCACACACTAGAAATAACCTACACTCTATTTGCTTGCATTTTAATCATCCACCTGTTTGTCACTTAATTTATGTCTTACTAACATTATCTACTCTCATGCCGCTCACTATTTATACTTATAATACTTTATTGGTATTCATTATTTTCACAAGTTACGATACTAACTCTATATAAGCTCACATTCATAACTTTTATAAACTAAAAGTAAGATATTAGGGTTGCTTTTAATTTTAATTTTATAACTTACAAGGTGGTACGTTGGTTTGAGGAGTTGGAGAAAAACTTGTGAGACCATAACTCAAGTCCTCCCCTACCATCTCTCTCAGTGTGTAAGTCCACCATTTCCCAACCATGTGGTCACCATCTACGCCTAAGGGGTCTTTTTCTTTTTTTCTTTTTTTAGTGGTGTATTCTAGTTTAAATTAGTCTTTACACTAACTGATACTGATTTATCATGCTCTGGACTAAATGAATGTCGAATCACACCTTATTTTTAGTCCATTCTAAGGATTTTATTTTATTATTATTATTTTTATAAAAGTCGATCAATATATTCTAATTAAGGATATGATTCATTAAATCTATCAACAGCCCATATCCAACGCCCAACGTTTCAACTAGCTTGTAATCATGATAAGTGGGTACGATGTGCTTGAGAGTTTATCTTTTGTATCTAATAGGTGTGGGTGTAACATCTTGGTCTTAAAAAAAAACAATTATGGATAAATTACAAAAAACACTTTATAGTTAGATGGCGAGAACACTCAACATTTTTATTTTCAAAAAATTACATTTTACACTCTAAATTTTTAAAGATAAAATTTTGATAGATGAAGTATAAAATAATGACAACACTCTTATATAAAAAGGGTAAATTACAAAAATATCATATAGTTAGATGACGAACTACTCCGCATCTCTATTTTTAAAAAAAATTACACCTTATACCTTGAATATTTTACGATGAAATTTTAGACATGTGAAGTATAAAATGATGAGAATACCTTTATATATACAATGAGACTTCTCATACTAGTTAAGAATTATCAACCTTATTCGTCACTCGCTCATATTCATCTCTCTCTCTCTCTCTCTCTCTCTCTCTCTCGAAGAGAGAGAAAGTAAATTGCTTGAAAATTTGGATTTCTTTTGTATTTTTGTTAATTAAACATTTGTGTGGCTATTTAGGATCGAATTGAAGACGAATAAAGAATAATTCAAAGTTGAAACGAGGTATGTCATTGTGTGCATGTTACAATGTCAACCAAATTTTTAAATACGGATGTATTTAATCCATAAATATTGGGATTAACATTATATTTATCTAATTGGAAGCAAAATCCATCAAGATTTTGAGTGTTTTGAAGGTTTTGTTAAGTGTGTTTGAAAAAAAAAAAAAAAAAACTCGTAATTTTTTAATGGTTAATTTTTGGTTTGAAACAGTTTGTTTATCTTTTAATTGGTTGTTTCGAGCAAAACTCATTAAAAATTAGGATTTCTAAAGTTTTTTAAGTTGTTAATTAGAAACTTCCAAAAAAATCCTAATTTTTAGTCCTTATGATCAAAACTTTTTACAATCAAATCCCTACTTTATTACTCTTGATCAAGTAATGATCCATTATGTAATTTTTTTAGTATAATGTTTGTAATATAATGAAGTATTATCAATAAAACTATAGTAAAACTATTTTTCATTATTCATTCACTATTTGAAATACTATTCACACTCTCACAAATCACTATTTTTTTCACTATGCAAGTCCTTTTTTTAACACATTGGTCCTTAATTTTTCTATGTTTTTTTTTTCAATTTCAAATTTAATTTTATTGTAATTTGATCTCATTTTATTGTAGTGTTTTTTGTTAATTATTTTTATTATTAAAATTTACTACTTTAATTTTTCTTTTTTTAAATTCTTTTTTTTTTCAATTTCAAACTTTAATTTGTTAATTATTTTTATTATTTAAAATTTACTACTTTAATTTGTCATTTTTTTAAGTTCTCTCTCTCTCTCTCTTTTTTTCAATTTCAAACTTTAATTATATTGTGATTTCGTCCCATTTCGTTTTAGTATTTTTTTATTAATTATTTTTATTATTTAAAATTTAATACTTTAATTTTTCATTATTTTTTTTAAATTCTCATCCAATTAATTTAAAATTATATCCACTAACATTTTTTATTTATTTTTCTATATGTATGGATTTTGGAATAAATTTTTAGAACATGATTATTTTTTTTTGAACAATAGATTTATATAATTTTTAAATTAAAATGGTATGATTAATATATATAATTTGTCTCAAAGACATTTTTAGGTTAAAAGTGTATTTCAAATAATTTTTTCTCATTTTTTACATTATTTAAAATTTACTATATTTAATTTGTCATTTTTTTAAATTCTTTTTTTCTATTTCAAACTTTGATTATATTGCGATTTGGTCCCATTTTGTTTTAGTGTTTTTATGTTAATTTTTTTTATTTAATATTTACTATTTTAATTTGTCTTTTTTTTTTTTAATTCTCATCCAATTAATTTAAAATCATATTTACTGATAGTTTTGATTTATTTTTCTATATGTATGGATTTTGGAATAAATTTTTAGAAGATGATTATCAAATTAATTAATTAATAGTCGAAAGTCAAATGTGAAAAATAAAAAGAAGATGGTTGCTCTGCGCGTGAGGCTTGTATTCAAGGACTAGCTATGCATAGCATAGAAAAAAAAACTATATTTAATGAGGAAAAAAGAAGAAGAAAAAGAATGCACATTTTTTATTAATGTTTTTTCTCTTTATATAATCAAAATTAATCAAAATCAAATTTGAAATAATTTTTATTTTAGTCTATTAATTTCAAATTTTGTCAATAGATTCCTTGCAAGTTAACTTTTTTTTTAAAAAATATTTTTTTGTTTTAGGTTGAAAACTCTAAACTCACTTAGTGTAATTATGATGTATAAAAAAAATATTGAATTGTTATTTTTTAAAAATTAATCGTGCAACTACTACTACACTAAGCTTTTACTATTTATTTATTTATTTTGAAATATTTTAAAATTAACTTATTTTAAATTAAATAATTAAAATTATGTTTTGGCTTAATCACTCAATGATTCAAATTAATATAGTTTTTTTATTTTAATATTATTCATTCTTTTGTAAATAAATATATAAAAATTAAATTCATATTTTTTCAAAAATCGATATGCTCATCAATATTAAATAAAAAATAATAATTTATTCAATTCCATGTAAGTTTTTAATAATTGTTATTTATGTTTGTTGACACAATCCTATGCAATACTAAAGCTTTTTTTAAAAACTTTTCTTTTTAGTTAATAATCCATGGATTAATAAGGATAAATTCTTTTTAAAAAAAATTATAAAAAACACAAATAAGAAATAGTTAAATAAAAAATTTTTGATTAAAAAATTATAAATAATTTTTGTTAACTTTTGGTTTCATATATTTTTATAGATTCATACCATAAAACAGATTATCGAATTGAAATTATTTTTCTAATCGATTTTATATATTTTATCTAACCAACGAGTGTAGCACGAGCAAAAATACTAATTAGAACTATAATAATTGATGTTATCACAATTTAAAAAATGACAAGGAAGGTATTAGCGATTCTGCATTTACTCTCATGATATCTTGAAATCCTTTAATTAGTCTGCACTCAGGTGGTTCTTTTCTTTGCTTTATAAAATCAATCACTCCAAGATCTTTATTCCTTAACTGTATAATCAAACCCTTTGCTAGAATTCTTAAAACCAATTTGTTAAGTTTTTCTTAGTTTTTATTTTTAAAAAACTGAATGACGACTCTACTATTCACATATTTTATTTTTGTGATAGTCAAGAGATCGACTCTGCTATTCACATATTTTATTTTTGTGATCGTCAAGAGATCATCGTGTGACAAAATGATAACTCTATTGAGAATAAAGTTAACTCATAAGTTTTATTTTCTTTGAGAAGTCGTACATATTTAGCCGAAATGTCATCAAACTCTTATGCTTCAGTTCTGGTTATACGTTTCGTATATGGTTCTCTCTGTTTATTCATGCTTGGAGGGGAGATCATGGCCCATTTCCCTTCTTTTCCAGCATTCAATGTATTGAACTGCTCCTCTGTGGACCGTGGGTTGTCGTTTAGCTCTAGCAAGAACAACCTAAGTATGGCCTTCTCCCAATTAAGCGAACACCAGTTATTTGCCAATTTTACCAATCCTACTGCAGATAGACATAAGAATAAAAAGGGGAATTTTGAATATGAAAGCGCTGCTTCACTTGTATCAAGCTAGTTTGCTTGAAGGATATATGCCTTAATTGGCTATATCATTGCCTCTTATTGGGGCTCTTTTGCTTACAATCAAGAGATCCTACTTTGTGATACTTGACAATATGGCTATTCTAGTTTTAGCTAACTATTCTCTTGTATTTTGTGCTATTTAGTTTTTGTCTATTGTTTAATTTATATCATCTTGTGAAAAAAAAAAAAAAAACAATATAATTATAGCAAAACTCACAAGTATGAATAATTTGAATAATAGATAACGAAGGCCAAATATGAAAAACCTACAAATAATATAAATAGCTTGCCTAGTTGATCAAGGACAAAACCAGAAAAATAGAATCAACTTCAAATCCAAAATTATTGATAGAAACAGAAAATTAACCAAAAAAAAAATTATTAATTCCTAAATATCAGCAATGTATACATGTTCTATGGGTCTAAATAAAAAAAGCATAAAAAGTAGATTTTTTGATTTTCTTATTGAATTTTAATCTTGAAAATAATCTATGATAGTTTTGGCATCGTCAGAACGTAGAGCATTGAATCAGGTTTTGAAGTTAGAATTGAAAATAATGTGACACAAATAAAATAATTTAATAGATTAATTTTAAGACTATACTAAACATGGTATGTTTATTTGGAAATGATATTTTTGAGTCATCCATGTTTTTGAGTGACAAAATCGGGTAACGACAAGTAGCATGCTGAGGACTCTGAACAAAAAGAATAGTTTAAAAACATCCTCGTAATTATTGCAATGTGATAACTGGTTAGTCCAGGTAGGACATATCTTTGGCTTATATGTTGGCAACAACATGATCTGGGGTCCATTTGAAGAAGAACGTGTTGATCATAGACCGCAAAATAATCAGAATGTGTCAAGACCCTGATAACTTGCAACTGTCCTCTTGCTCCTGCAACGACCTGCAAAACAGGTAAACATTAGGCATAGTTCAAGAACACAATTGTTTTTGGCTCTGTTTATACAGAAGCCTAATAATGCCATCAATGCCATTCAGGAGAAGGGGGGACCTGTTTTCCAGTATAAATAGAGAAGAGGATTGAGATTGGAAAGTGGCACGGAAAGGATTGAGAGGAATTTGAAAAAACAGAATTGAGAATTGGGAGGCATTTTTTCTGAAGGATTGAGCAGTTGGAAAAAACAGAGAGCAATTTTGGGAGGGAATTGCAAAAGGGGCAGCAGTAATTGAAGAGAGAAATTGAAAAAAAAAAAAAAGGCAACATGAGGGTGGGGGAGTCTTACAAAACGGCCCGAAGGAGGAGAAACTGAACTAGCAGCATCAAGGCACCCAGAAGAGCACCAATTCGCCCACTGAAGCAGCAACCACCCATTGCCATTCATTCACCCTCGTCCGGACATCTGCTGTCAGCCATCTAGGTAAGAATCTTTCTTTTTTTTTTCCCTTCGATTTGCCATTTTTATTAGCTTCAATCGATCCAAAAAGTAAAAAACGATGGATGAAAGTGATTTCATCACTGTCATCGGGTAATATCTCACACCTCTCGAAATTTTTCTTTGTGGGTTTTGAATATTTGTGAAATGAGGAAGAGTATAGGGTTCTGGTCGTTTTAGAAGGTTGGATTATAGGGGTAATTGGTTTGATTTTTAGGTTTTGGGGGGTTCTATTCAGGAAAGCTAAAACCTAAGGTTTTCAATTTAGGCAAAAAGAAAAGAAATTGGGGCAAACTTGTTGGGGGGAGGAGTTTAACTCGTTTGAAAGTAGAAAGGAAATGGCTTGAAGAGGGGAGATCCAGGATTGATCAAGGGAAAGAAGATGAAAGGTTAGTGAGTTTTGGGATTCGATCGTTCATGGTTTAGGTTTAGGGAGAGGGATAAACAACCCATGATTTGGATGAGTGAGAGAGAGAGGAGGTTGGGATCTGGCTTCCGGGTGATTAGATTAGAAGAGGAGATCGTTTTTCAGCTTTCTGGGTTTCTTTTGAGAAGGATAAAGAAAGAGATGAGAGAAAGGGAAGAGAGGATCGTTTGATCCAAAAGGAACGAAGACAAATAAAGAGAGAAGAGGTGTTTGGGGTAAGGTCTAGAGCCAGAGAGAAAGAAAGAGGACGGGCTGGGCCAAGCCCAACCCACTTGAGGCCTGGACTGGGATGATCTCAGCCCTGCCTAGGCCCAAAACCAAAGGAGGGTGGCCTGCCTAGAAGGCCAACCCAGCAACCCATCCAGTGAGCCCGACCCAACAGGACAAGGGCCCATCGACCCCAAAAAAGAAGAAGAGAACCCATTGCTTTGTCTCTACCTAGTTTTCTAAATTAGCACCGAATTTCCTTTTGCCTATACTTTTTTTTTTTAATCTTATGCTCAATTTTGATATGATATTTTGAATTGCCAAGTTTAAGATTTATTAGGTAATTAATTAGCTAATTAACCGGTGGACGAGTTGTCGGATCTCCTAATTTTTAAAGACTCGATGACGATTCCCGACCAAAAAAAAAAAAAAAAAACTAGAAAAATATCAAAAAATAAAAATAAAAAACTATGTATAAATTTAACATAATCTTTTATCTAAGAGGAACTGATATTAGCTCAAAATAATCATATTTTAATAATTAGATTGTTTTTTGATATATCGGTTACGTCGAGGCTTAAATTGGATCCAATGTTGAACCGACGAGATGCCCAACGCTCGATGGAGGGGTCCGATGATCGGTTACATATGATGCTAAAAAAAAAAAAACTAAAAAAGTTAATTTGACATAGAAAATAAACTTGAAATTTTGATTAGTATTAATTTTGACAGAAATAGAAACTTCCCTATAATAGATTGATGGACAAAGCATTGCAACCCATATTGTATTTTACAACAAATATAATTTAGTTTCTAAATTATTATTTTTTTAATCAAATCTCCATATTTCAAATTGCAAACTTAGGTCAAAATTAGTCAAACAATTTTAATAGAATGATGGACAATGTAAGAGTTAAGTGAATTTAAATAGATATATCCGTTTAGAAAATAAAAATTTTGATTCATATAATATTGTATATCTATTATGAGAATTTTTATTTTATTTTCTTTCTTTTAAAAAAATCTAGACAAAAAATAAAAACAAAAAAGAAGGAAAAATAATCATAATTGATATATGATATTATAGGAAAGAATTCTATCTTAAAATAATAGCTCACTTCCTAAACTTCTTCATAATTTTTGATTGTCTAGTTACTCACTCATTTGGTAAAAAATTACAAGCTTTAGTTTTGATCTTTAATGATGAGAGCCCTAGTTGAATCAGGCACATTTTTAACATCCTCAAGCTGACCTCGACCTACAGCTTTTTCTGCTTCAATCTCGAAACTATGTTCAATGAATTCAAAATTTGTTCTTTATATTTCTTCTTCTCGAAAGTTAATATAGTGTTCGCTACAAATCAGTAACAAAGTTTGATCCATTTGCACACATTTCACTTTCTTGCTTGCTGAGTAACAACTTTGTCTTCTTTGCTGAGCAAGACGTGCACCTAATAGCAGGCTCATAAAATAATAATAATAATAATAATAATCCAATATTCTAGTTATTCTGCAAATTCAACAAAAAAAAAATGCTTTATTTATTTCATAATAACAGGGCAATAATAATTGTCTTACTAAATCATGATGCCTAAAAGGACAAAAGTTGAATGTAGGAGGCTTGCAAAGTTGCCGTGTTTCGTTGACTTGAGGTTAGGTCAAAGTGTGCTTTGAATATCTCATATAGAAGACATATCGTGCTTGCAACGTCTTTAGTAAATAAGTTATCCACCGCTCCCTAGTAGAGGCTGCAATTGAACCCAAAAAGGAATGATATAGTTTAAATATCACTCTATCAGTTCCACTTTGGCTGTCAATCTCATCCCTCCCTTCAACATCACCAGAAGATGTTGTTCCTTGCAACTTCTCAATGTCATGATCCCGTTCCCACTCCGATTCTTGGCTGTCAATCTCATCCTCCTCTTCAACGTCCACAGAAGGTGATATTCTTTGGTTATCACATGAATCTACGATCACATGGACCCCAATTTCTTTGAGTTCAGTAGTAGAAAAAGACGATTCGTCATCCAATATCTGCAGATACAGCTCCAGTTCTTCTCCACAATATTCTTCTATTGCCATCTCACCTTTTCTTACATATCTCACCCAAGATGAAGTCCAAGCTATTCCTATGCGACTTTCAAACAATTGAATACCGTTGCTTTTATTTTTGATGAAAACGTTGCCTCCGTGAGTACTAAACATCGGAGATTAAAGGACAATCCAAATAGCCAACCCTTGAAAAAATGGAGGTAGATGAAACGATAATGAACTTCTCTCTCCGCGATAGCTGAACCAATTTGGTACGTGATCATCATTACGAAAATAAATCTCATACCCATAATTATTGTTGCTCGATACCTATATGTTGATTTAAAGGAAAGTTGAAATGTTAAACACTAATAATGAACATAACTATTCTTATATATATATATATATATATGAGTGTGTGTGTTTGTGTTTATGCGGGGATTGGGTTCTCTTCAAGTTAAAACTCATGCTAGTTAAATTCTGAGATTTTAAGTTCTAATGGATGGCTATGATTATTTCATGTACCTATAAAAAAATAATTTTACCAACAAAAAAGTTGGGTTTATGAATTAGGGGTTTGAATATAATTATTGGTTTTGTATCAATAATATGAATTTGTGTAAATAATGTTTTTCGTAGATTCTTTTTTCATTCAATTTAATAGTAGGAATACAAATTCATTAATAACAATAATTAAGTTTTTTTAATTTATGTAATTTTTTTTGACATTTTTTTAATTTTCATTACAGATGAAATTTCCAGTTTTTTAGTGTAGTGATATAAAAGCTTTTTAAAAAGCCGTTGACCAAAGAGATAAAGCAATATTTTACGAGATTTTATATTTATAATATAAGTATTAATGTTGATAGTCTATATAAAAAATAGATTTGGTTGAATTTGAAATATAGAAGGAAGTAGATCATATATTAATTTTTTATTTATGAAAAGCTAATCATAATTATTTTTATAAAAAAAATTAATAATTATTATTCTTTATTGATATTAGATTTAAATTGATTTGATTTAAAAATAGTTTAATAATAAAAAAAAGAGATTAAGTACTGGTTTATGCAAAAAAAATGATAAATTTAATTTTAATTAATGTAAACTATTTAAAAATATATTACTATTTGTTTAAAATACACCTATATATATATATATATATATATATATGCTTCCTCCGTAAGTAAGAGAAAATCCTAATAAAATCTTAGCCATTTTATTTTAATTTAAATGGCTAAGATTAAACTAAAATGATAAATCACATTAACATTAATTAATTTCAAGAAAGTCCAATCCGTGCATGTGTGTGCAGGAGACATTGATAAAAAGATAACAGTACCTCAGCAAGATTCTTCTTATAACTTTCCGATAAACTGTAGCACCATGGAGAGAAAGCCCTCAAGCCATCGTCCATATATTTCTTGTCCTCGATCTCCATTAAATTTCGGCACCCATCTACGCTCAAAACTGGAGATCTTTTTGACTGAATTGGCAGTCTTATCCTTTTTGTTGATTTGCAACCACTTGCATACAACCGCACTATACTTGAGGGAAGCTCTGAAATTAATAAAAGATTTATGCAACCACTAACATTCAACTTCTGGAGCCTAGGAAGGTGGCCAATTCCAGAAGGTAGATTGAGGAATTTGTTTCCTGATAAATCCAATTCTTCAAGAGAGGACAAACTCCCGAAATCAACACAATTCATTGCACTTTCAGACAGGCCAAAGGAAGCAAGTTTTAGCTCTCTCAATAAACCCCAACCAGCCAAAGAAGTTGGGAGCGAAGCTTTCCAATTGAAATCTCTCGGTGAAAGCCATGATGAAATTAGTGAAATCCAAGATGTAGATGATGCGGAGTCCTGATTGAAACTGTATCCACGCAATGATAACTTCCTAACATATTTGAAATGTACAATTGAAGAGCGAAATTTTTCATTTTCAATTCCATTTGCTAGCAGCTCCGTTAAGGATTCTATATCACCCATGCGTTCTGGCAGCTTCTCAAGTTGTGAGCACCCAGAAATATTCAAAGTTTCAAGAGATTTTACATCACAAATGCTTTCTGAAAGAATCTTTAGTCTGTAACATCCTCCAAATTCAAGAAAATAAGCATCTTCAAACATCCAATAGATTGTGGTACCTCAACTAAACTAATGCAATTTTTAAGTATTAGTCTCTCCAAATTGGAAAGTCCCAAGAAGTTTGGCAATTTAGCGAGGTTCTTGCAATAGCTGAGATTGAGGATTTTCAGCTTGTTGATGATCTGGTAAAACATTAAATAAGCAAAAGAACGCATACAAAGCTAATTAAAGGTAACGTGTAAATTTTAATTTTTGAAACTACATTTTACATACCTTGGTCTCCTTCCAGAGTTCTTTGATGTTGCTGTATTGCATATCAAGAATAACAAGGTTGCCGAGTTCAAAATCGGATGGCAAGGATTTCAAAGGGCATCCATGCCAACACAACCATATCAACCCTTTGGGAAGAGTTTTGAAACATCCAATGAGATGTAAACCGTTAATCTTGAGTAATTGTAAACGTTTCATCTTTGTAAATGCTTCTGTGCTCAAAGGTTCCACTTTTGTTGTTGTCACATCCAGTGTAAGACCTTCTACAGCTCTTGTTCCCTGAAAAACAACAAAATTCAATATAACTCTCATATGATTGGTTGGAAATAGATTTATACAAAGGCATTTCTTTAAAGATCAGCAAAGTTCGAAAAAAAAAAAAAAAAGAAAAGAAAGAGATAACACTGATTGTGATTTTGCATGGAACTTTCTGAATAAGCATTTAGTTCTTACCATGTGCTTGATGAGGACATTCCATGCATCTTCATGATGCCAAATTCGATTGCGTTTTCCAAGATCGTCAGGAGATGTTTTACGGATAATCTCTCTTCCCATGTCCCGTAATAAATCATGCATGTTTATCTCATACCAATCATTTACTGTTATTAAAGACCTTTCAATGAGAGTTCCCAAATCATCTTCTGGATTGTAACCACAACGGGCTTGAAGAACTTCTGCTACAAACTCTTTCCTTCTACCAATAAAAAAGCATGCAATATCAAGGAATATGTTTTGTAGTTTATCATCATCCAATGTGTCGAAACTTATTCTAAGCTTTTCCAGAATATCACAGTTTGGAATTTTTCTCAATTTCTCAACGACACATATCCATCTACCTTTGTTTTTCTCAAACAAACAAGAACCTAAAACTTCAAGAGCTAAAGGAAGCCCTCCAGAGTAATCAACAATATCATTTGCAAGCTCCGCATAATCCTCAATTAGAAGTTTGTCCCTAAAGGCATGCCAACTGAAAAGCTGAAGTGACTCATCTCGTTTCAATTGTTTGACCTCATATTTTTTGTCCACTTTAAGCAGCAAACGTTTATTTCTAGTGGTAATGATTATTCTACTTCCAGGACCACACCAACTTCGCTCTCGCATCAATACGTTTAGTTGTTTCAATCGATCCACATCATCAAGAACAATAAGAACTCTTTTATGACAAAGTCTTTCTTGGATGACATTCATTCCTCTATCAACGTTATTGATATTCCAAATATTTTGCTTTAAAATATCGCCAAGAAGTTGTTCTTGTAATAAAACCAGACCATTAGGTTGCTCTGATTTTTCTGTGACATTTGAAAGAAAACAGCTTCCCTCGAATCCATAACATAGTTGGTTAAATACAACTTTTGCTATGGTTGTCTTTCCTATTCCTGCCATCCCATGTATGCCAATCATGCGAACATCATCTGTTGTTGTACTTAGAAAGTTGCTAATATCACGGACAATGGAATGGATGCCTACAAGGTGTGGAGCAACATCTAAGTGCTTGTGATCCAATTTATTCAACACATCTTCGATAATCTTCTGGATAAATTTTGATTCATGTCTGTTCATGCATAAAAAAAGTTATTTCTAACGAGAGAACAAGTGAACATTGCTCAAAGAAATTTGTTACTGTTCAATATTCTAATTCAAATCTAACGTGTAGCATAAATTCACAAGCCTTGGATTGATAGTAAACGACTTCATATTGATGCCTAAAAGTGAACTATAAAAAGAAAAAAGCATACCCATTTGCCATATCATTGAGATTCCATCCAGATAGATTTCCGACCTCCTCAAGAGCTTTTCTCCACTCCTTAGCCTTCTCTTTAAATTGTTCTCCATGTTTATCAAACGCTTTTGCAAAACTGCCCATTTGGTTTCGAACATCTGAAGGATCAATGTCATAAAATATTGGAAGAACAATATGATCAGTATTCTTATTTTTACACTCAAGAATCTCTACAAGTTCGTTAAGACACCATCTAGAAGAAGCATAGCCTTTTGAGAAGACAACTATCGATATCTTTGATTCATTGATTGCCTTGAGGAGATGCTTGGAGATTTCTTCTCCTCGAAGAAGTTCGTTTTCATCTCGAAAAGTGTGGATTCCTGCTTTGTCTAAGGCAGTATATAGATGATCTGTAAAATTCTTACGAGTATCTTTTCCTCTAAAACTCAAGAAGACATCATAGGCCCCTTTTGTTCTAGATCGAGAAGATCCTAGCTCTGTCATGGTAGCTACAGAAAACAAGGCACTATTAATTAGCAAAGCACCAACTGGAGAAGGGATACATGTCAAGTGATCCTCAAGACTATACATATGAGTATGCTGAGTAGTAATTTCACATAAACAAATAGATTGATAACTTTTGTTACTTTCATATCTATGAGTCAGTCAATGGAATTTTTAATTTCTGATCTTTGTTCAATAGTTTCTTTTAAAATCTAGGGCCAACAGTAAGTCAATGCGAGCCATTTAATTTTGACTTCAAGAGCTCGAGTTGTGCAAAAATGATTGTGAGGAAGTTCATTATCATCCTGAAATGGATGAATTCTTGCCTGGACTAAGGCTGTATAAAGATAATTTTTAAAAGTCTTACAAGTATCATCACGAAATGTATGAATCCCTATTCTCAAAAAGACATCATAAGCGTATACAAGTCTAGATGAAAAAGAAGATGTCTCAAACTCAAAGAACATGGCAGCTATAGAAGGCACCATTGGGCAACATTCAGGAGTGGAATATATATGTTGATTGTGGTGTAAATAAAGGACGGAAGGTTCAAGGTTGTCGATTAATACAGGCGTACTCTATAGTAGATCATAGAAAGTTAGACACAATTCAATCCTTAAATTTCTCAACAGTCAAGCAGAAAAATATGTGTGTCAAGATCCAATTTTAACGAAAAATGATTTACTCATCAAATAAATGATGATGGAAATTTGTTACAAAAGCTGAATTCTGATGGTCAAGAAACATGTGTGTTTATCAATATCTTGAAACTAACTCTTTCTATTTAGAGTTACAGTAGCATCTACATTAAAATAATTAACTTTTGAACAAGAACTAATATTCTTAAAGAAAGCCAATGAACTTTTATATATATATATAAACTAACTGTGATCGGCAAATTTAACAATCATTTTGTACTGAAAGAGATGGAAGGAACTTAAGTGAAGGATCTCAACATGAAGATAAAAACTTTGATCACAAGTAATCAAATCAATTTAGTTTTAAAGATGAAAACAACAAAAGTATATGCAATCAGTAGCAACAATTACAAACTTACCTGTATATGGTGATTATGAGTTGGTGGGACGATCAAATTGCTGCAATCGGAAAGGTTAGCTAAAGAGTAAAATGAGGGATTATATTGTTCCAAAGGAAGGATATGCTTTCTTGCAATAATTATCAAAGACAAAAGTTATCAGTTGCACTAAAAAACAACAAAGGCAATTCTTTAGCAGGAATCTTTAGTAGTGATTTTGTGGTGGTAGCTGATCCATTATTGTATTTCTTACTTTACAATTAAAGCAGTGTAAACACGTTAAAAAGTTCTTTGGACAGAAAAAGCAGTTTGATAAGTGTCTTTATTAAAGAAATTGGACATGAAAATTGCTGTTCTGTTTTCACTTGACTAAAATGTTTTTTTTTTGACAAACCTAAAGAAATGCTCCCTGATTACATAGATTTTACTACTAAATAATTTTTTTTGTAACAATTTTAATTACCTCCAGACTTTCATAAATTTTCAATTGAGAACTTTTATGTACTTTTAAAGCTTTCTATCTATATTTCCATTCAAATTGTATTTTTATTTTATATGAAACTAGTCCAATGTTTGGACTTTGTAGCATGTTAATTTTTTTTTTAATGAATATCATGAGAGGTTTCAAATCTTATAAGAAATTTGATAAAAAAGAAAATTTTGGAACAAAAAAAAATTATAACTGCCTAAAAAGTTAATATGAAATTCAAAAGTCAATATTGATTAAAGGACTTTTTCATTATTATTAATACTATAGGAATTAATTAATTAATTATGATAAACATCATGTACTGAGTTATAATTAACTCCTTCTTAGTCTTTTTCTTTAAATTGAGTTTTATTTTATTTAGAAAATTATATTTTCTGCAATACTAGGAAATTGCATAAGAATAAAGCCTTTGAAATTCTTGTGGACCGACGTCTAAAGAGGGAGATAAACGGGTCAAATGGGTTTGGGCGCGGACTGACCTTTTGATGAAAAGAAATAAAAGTGTATGGCATTTGTTCGGAAAGAGCGTGTGGGGACAAACCCACTGACGCTTAGCCGGAAAGCCGAGTGGTCTACTTCGCTCAGTCTGGCTAGATTCTACTGAAGGACCCTTCTTGCACTAAAAAACAACAAAGGCAATTCTTTAGCAGGAAATTGCTAAAGAGAGAAATCTTGAGTGGTGATTTGGTGGCGGTAGCTGATCCATTATTATAATCCTTACTTTACAATTAAAGCAGTGTAAACTCATTAAAAAGTTATTTGGACTGAAAAAGCAGTGCTGATAAGTTTCTTTATCAAAGGAGTTGAAAATGGAAATTGCTGTTCTTTGGACTTTTTGGCAGGTTAATTTTCTTTTATTAAATAATATGAGAGGTTTCAAATCTTATAAGAAATTTGATTAAAAAAAAAATTTGAAACAAAAAACAACTAGAACTGTCTAGAGAGTTAATACTGAATTCGGAAGTCAATACTGATTAAAGGACTTTTTCATTGTTATTAAAACTATAGAAATTAATTAATTAATTATGATAAGCAACATGGATTGAGTTACAATTAACTTCTTGACTTTTTCTTTAAGCTGAGTTTTATTTTATTTAAAAAATTGTATTTTCTATGATTCTAGCGAATTGCGCAAAGATAAGAAGTTTGAAATCCGCGTAGACTGACTTTTTGGATGAAAGGAAATGAAAGCGTGGACTGACTTTTTGATGAAAGGAAATAAGTTTTTTGACTTTCTATGATTCTAGCGAATTTCCAATACATTTGATGTTTAAAATGATTCGGGCCCAAAGAAGCATATGGAAGCGTTATTCATCAATGTAGCTAAAATGATAAGTCAGTTAATGCAACTCAGCAATTCAAGACTTCGAGGACTTAAAGCAGTGTAAACATGAACTTTTGTAAGGAAATTTATCAAACATTTGATATGCAAGGTGAGAAAAACTTGCTTGCTAGAAATTAACAAGAAAAAGTGGGAGAGTTTCCAAGGTAGTTTCTTGGTAGCGGACTGAAATGTAGGCCATGGGTGGGGCAACATGTTTCTGGTGCCAACCAGTTAGCATCTTCGTCTCTTCAAAGACAAACAGTTACGCGTTTCGGTAAACCTTCCTGTACTGTGACTCACAATTTCTTACACATTCAAAGAATAACTATGCTATTCTGTTCATGAACGGTGGAATTGCTGAAAAGATAGAAGCATCATCAGGGATTTGCAAGACCCTTCTTGCACTAAAAAACAACAAAGGCACTTCTTTAGCAGGAATCTTGTGTGGTGATTTCGTGGTGGTAGCTGATCCATTATTATAATCCGTACTTTACAATTAAAGCAGTGTAAACTCATTAAAAAGTTCTTTGGACTGAAAAAAAGTGGTGATAAGTTTCTTTATCAAAGGAGTTGAACATGGAAATTGCTGTTCAGTTTTCATTACAGACTAAAAGTTTTTTTGTTTTTTTTTTTTGGACAAACCAAAAGAAATGCTCCCTGATTATATAGATAGCCTGAATTTTACTACTAAATAAATTTTTTGTAACAATTTTAATTACGTGCAAACTTTCATAAATTTTCAATTGAGAACTGTGCAATTGAGTTAATTATGATAAGCAACATGAATTGAGTTACAATTAACTCCTCCTTGGCTTTTTCTTTAAGCTGAGTTTTATTTTATTTAAAAAATTGTATTTTCTGTGATTCTAGAGAATTGTGCAAGGATAAGAAGTTTGAAATCGGCGTAAACTGACATGCAAGTAAAGAGAGAAATGGATCAAATGAGTTTACGCGTGGACCGACTTTTTGATGAAAGGAAATGAAAGTGTATGGCATTTGCTTCGAAGCAACGAGGAATTGATAATACGATCCAAAAAGGTTGCCTTTAGCCCAAAAAAAAAGTCTTTTAATTAAGTATCCACAAAAAATGATGAATTAGTTATGATTTTGGCATTTTGTTCTGTTCATTTCGCTAAAGGAAACTCCTAATGCTGTTTTAGCTCACCCATTAGTTAATGCAAGTCATTAGTGCGAACATAATTTATTAATAAACTTTTCACAAGGAAAGATAAATCTATTCTGTACAAGAGAAGTAGTGATGGACCAAGCAAAATGCCCCACTAAAAAGCCGCAGAATCATTTTCTTTGACAATGACTTCTTGGACGCACAAACTAATTGAATTTCCAATACATTTGATGTTTAAAGTGATTCGGGCCCAAAGAAGCATATGGAAGCGTTATTCATCAATGTAGCTAAAATGATAAGTCAGTTAATGCAACTCAGCAATTCAAGACTTCAAGGACTTAAAAGCAGTGTAAACATGAACTTTTGTAAGGAATTTTATCAAACATTTGATATGCATGGTGAGAAAAACTTACTTGGTAGAAATTAACAAGAAAAAGTAGGAGAGTTTCCAAGGTAGTTTCTTGGTAGCGGACTGAAATGTAGGCCATGGGTGGGGCAACATGTTTCTGGTGCCAACCAGTTAGCATCTTCGTCTCTTCAAAGACAAACAGTTACGCGTTTTTGTAAACTTTCCTGTACTGTGACTCACAATTTCTTACACATTCAAAGAATAGCTATGCTATTCTGTTCAATGATGATGGTGAAAGATTTCGAAGAGTCTGAACTGGTTCTTGATTAGAGTAAAGTTAGTTGCTGATGTTGGTGACGGTGGCCGAAAATAGATTGGGGACGGTTACTAAGTTTGAGCGGGACGATCAGAAACAAAAGAAGGTGGGTGGTTGGGTTTGTGAGTGGATTTCCAAGTGAAGAGGATGCTGGGCCAAGCACAAATGGTTTATCTTGGGCTTTTATTAAAGGGCTTTCAATTACTGATATGCTGGATGCTGGGCTCTCTCCAAGCATTGAGTCCATATACCATCCGTTTGAGAGGAGGGAATGACTATTATTTTGGATTATTGACACGTGTCCATATAGATGAAATTTGATTTAATTTTTATTATGCAAATAAAATGAATTCATGTAATGAAAAAATATATATATTTCAAAATTTGAGATAATTCTAAATTTGAAAAGTTAAAAAAAAAAAAATTAAGTTAAGAAAAAATAAAAAAGTGAAAATCCTATTTTTCATTTCCCATGCATAATAATACAAGAAAACATGTGATGAATTACTAGATATATTATCAAATTGATAATTAATGAATATTTGGCTGATATCCTTGTCTAAGGTGTGGGTAGTGAATTCTAATTGGAATGGACTTTGTCAACTAAATTAGTCATAAATAGATGTTTTTCTTACAATCCCATAGTGATTAAATTAGCATCTTAATGCATTTCTTGTGGTGATGAATTTGGTATCAAAAAAGTCATATTAGCCTGTAACGACGAAGGAAAACAATTTCACCACTAATATCATTTGTTAAGTGTATCTAGTGATTATCTTTAAATGAATGGTTATTTAAAATAGTTGCAAAGCATCTTGTTTTTGTAGTGATAATTTCTGTTTTTAAATCCTAAATTGACAGCTCTTAAAATCTATACACTCATAAACAAAGTTTCAAAACCCGCACAAAGCATCAGGGATGGCAATTCAAGCCCCCACCCCCGGCGCCCGTTTGGGATGAGAATAGGGTATGAAATTTTGCTTCGAACGGGACACGAGGTGAGGATAAGTTTTTTTTTTTTTTTTTTTTGATGGGATAAGGATGGAGATGACAATCCTCACCTTGCCCGCCTTTTTATTTTTTTAAAAGATAATTTGATGGGATCATGCCCGTCCGTCCTATTTAGGATGGGAATGAAAAGCAAAATTTCACCACGAGGCGAGGATGAGTTGTTTTTTAGGAGATGGGGCGGGGGCGGGGGTGGGGATGGCGATCTCGGCCCGCCCCATTGCCATCCCTACAAAGCATAGTCAAGCTGAGGATGAGTAAATTATAAATTAGTCCCAGGTTTCTCTTTATTAAGAATGTACTTGATTAACCTTTCTTGTCCATTTCAAGTCGAGTTAGCAAATGCTCATCGCTGGTCGTAATGATTATTCTACTTCCACGTCCAACCAATTTCGCTTGCCCACCAGTTCCTTTACTTGTTCCAATTGATTCAAATCATCAAGAACAATAAGTACTCTTTTGTGACAAAACCTTCTTTTGATTAAATTAATTCCTCTATCAACATTATAAATCCAAAAATTTTCTTTCAGGGTACAACAAAGTTGTTCTTGTAATTGGACCAAATCATTAGGTTGTTCTGCACTTTTTGTGATATTCAAAAGACAACAACTTTCTTGAAATATATGACAAAGTTGGTTAAATAACGCTTTTGCGATGGTTGTCTTTCCTATTCCTGTCATCCCATAGATGCCTAAAATTCGAACATCACCCAAACCAACATCTAGCGAGGCAATGATACCTTTGACTTGGGAAACAGTTTCAACTATCTTTTTGATAAATTCTGATTCATGTCTATTCACAGTAAAAGACAGCCAAACCAGTGAAAAAATAAGCTTAATTCCCCAAAGCAAATTGTCCTACAAATTTTATAACATAAACCAAAACTAGTGCTGACTGTATCAAGTTTAAAAAGAGAGTGTTTTGGACTCTAAAGTCTTAGATTTCAGCATAGCAACTAGCAAGCTAGGAGTGGACAACAACAATTGGAATGAAAAGAACATAAGTATGAGATGAAAGAAATACCCATTTGCCATAGAGTGGAAATCTCAGCCAGATAGATTTGCGGCCTCCACGAGAGCTCTTTTCGACGTACTGACCTTCTCTATTTCGACCTTGAATCGTTCTTCATATCTGCCAAAAGCTTCAGCGTACCTTAGTTCTAATCCTGGATCAACTGAGCAAATGACAGTGACGAAGTCACTGTCATTGAGAGACCACCTACAAACAGAGGAGTTTGGAGGGTGATTTTGGGCTATGGGATGCATAGGCTTTGGTGTGGAATATAGAATATAGTGTTTATTGGGGAATGATGGCTAGTAGGTCATGGTTGAGGAGAAGAAGAGAGAGTTACAGTGCGCTGCACTGAAACGTGAGGTGTAGAAGGAAGACGAGATAGGAAAAAAGAAAAAAATGAAGAAGAAGAAGAAGGAAAGCTTAGGGCTGGGCTAAATCCAGCGTGAAAAAATGGGGAAGGCTGGGCTTAACCCAGCCTGCTATGAAATTAAATCAGAATAGAGCTTAGCCCAGCCCGCGCAAGATCCCAGAAGCAAAAAAGTAAAAAAAAATTAAAAAAAAAATGTCCTGTGGGTCCAATCTCCTTATTTTCAGCCTTTTGTCCTAGTAAATCATGCCTAAATTTATTTTTAATATATGCTTTTATTTTTTATGCCTAGTTTAAATTTAATCTCTTTGAATTGTTGTTTTATTTATTTATTCATTTAATTAAAATATTTTATTAGTTAAGTTTTTATATTAAGAATTAAGATAGATAATTAATTGGTGAACGAATTATTAAATCTCTTAATTTTTAGAGACTGATGATGATTTCTCATCAATAATCAGTAATCAATATAAAAAAACAAACAGTATGAAAAAATAATAAAAAATAAGAAATATAGAGATAAAAGAAAAAGAAGGGAAAAATGTTAGGCAATAAAAATCCAAGAAAAAAAGAAAAAGGAAAGAAAAGGGGAAAAATAGAATAAGGAAAAATGCCAAAAAAATAAAATAAAAAGACAGGAAGAGATCCCTAGGTAGAAAAAATGAAAAGAAAAAAAAAAGAAAATGTTAAGAAAAGATTAACAAATTCTTATATCTAATAGAGACTCGTTTTTAGTCAAAAAAATCATTTTAGTAATTAAATTGTTCTCTAACATACTTATTATGTCAAAACTTAAAGTAAATCCAATATTGAATCGACATATCTCTCGATAAAAGGAACCAACAATTAATTCAAAAAGATACCACAAACAAAAATAAAAACTTAATTTGGCTAAGAAAACAAAAAAACTTGGAGTTCGAATTGGAACTAATGTAGCACAAATAAAATATTTCAAGAGATTAATTTAATGATTAATCTAGACGTGATATTTTTATTGAGAAATGACTTTTTGGGGGTGAGGGGAGTGATTCTAAGTTGGTTTGCAGACGGGGTGTGAGTTATTTTAGAAGATGGTTATTGATAAAGTTATGCCGAGTGAGGCTACGTTTACGAATGCAGTGAGGCTAGCTTCTGTTTTGGAAGACCCGGAAATGGCTTTTGATACGGTTAAGCAAATGAAGGGTTTTGGTATTCTTTCAAAATTGAGAATGTATGGACTGGCTCTGTTTGGATTTTTAAAGAAAGGGATAGTCGATAGAGCTTATGAAGTGATGAACATATGATTGAATCCCATGTGGTGGCTGAAGAGCCTGAGCTTATGAAGTCGATAGAGCTTCATTTTGTCGATCTTGATGCAAGAGAGACAGAAAATTTGCTATCTCATTATCCAAGTTGGCTAACCAAATCCAGGTTAAGACTGATTTCCGTCAGTTTCAGGTACAACACAACTCTTAATCTTTCCTGTACCTGTAAGGTTCAAGGAATGGTTCTTTAAGTTTTTATTTTTTTTGTATATGTTTCTCGACATTTCTCTATCTTCATCTCATGTAAATATTTATTGCATGCACATGGAAAGAGTTCATTGTGAGAACTTTACTCAAGATGTGCTTAAAATTATGAGAATCTGTTTTATTGGCCTATATGATCATTCTTACATTATAAGTTTGTTTATGCTTAGATTCTTTTTCCCACATCAAAATGTCGACATTCTAACTTTGCCACTTCTGCATGTTTAGGAAATTGATACATAAAACAATTGCCAGTGGGATATTAACTGATGTACACAGTGAACTCATTCAGGAGTGGCTGTGGAATCATGGTCCATTCGATGCCGTTGTAGATGGAGCGAATGTGAGTTTTGTCAATAAACCAACTTTCAGTTTTAACCAGGTAAGTGGCATGCTGAGGATAAGTTTTGTCAGACCACATCTTTCAATTTCTTGTTGTAGCTTGATATTGCTGTAAATCAATTGCATCAAATGAGCTCATCAACGGAATTGCCACTCATTATTTTGCACAGAAGTCATGTAACTGCGGTTCCAGCTGGAGTTGAAAAAACATTGTTAGAAAGCTTTATGAATTCTGGTGCATTTTATCTTCATCCTTCAAATGATAGTTGAGGAGTATGCATTTATGAACTATTCTGTTCTATCTAGATGTTCTTGGCTTAATGACTAATTTATGTTTTGCATGTATGCATTATAAAAGTCTACAATGACACCATTTCTAACCATTTTTGGGATACAAGAGTAACTCAATGGTCTTTGTTTGAAAAATACTTGCACATTACAATCCGAAGTAACAGACGTAGTTGTAACTTTTATGGGAGTAGGTGAACAATTGTTTTGAAAAATTGATGATCTCTTTATCATCTGCTATTTCCATGAAAGTCCGACTTAATTAATTCAGTAGTAAGTTAATACTACCTTTGTCCTGCACAAGAAATAGACAAACCGAGTTTAGGATAATTCGTATCTTTAACAAGAGAAGTTGCACATATTGAGCCAAAATATCACCAAATTAAACTTTTGCATTGAGATGATTTTTTAGCATCTCTAAACTAACCAAAATACAAATTTGAATTATACTAACAGACTAAATCCTTAACATAGGGCAGTGACAACGGTCCTTCTCAGGGCTTCATGACGGATCTGCTACAAGATTTTGATGACTGATCAATGATGAAATAGTGGGGTACTTTCTTTTTAACCCAACAATATTTTGCCAACATACTGGATAACTACAATATTTCAAATCCACGCCAATCCCTACTTGCAAGTAGGATTTTGGATTCAGGCAACTCATGTATCAAATAATCTTTCCATCCATCATCTATTCCTTGGCTATGATCAGTATGTGCCTTGTTTACTATCACATGAACCCCACACTTTTCTACTCTATCATCTCCGTTATCATGTATTTTCACAGACACTTCCAACTGTTCTTCACCTTCAATCGCGCATGGAAGCCCAGACAATGTTATATGCTTTACAGAAGAGTATTGGTTACTCGCTGAATCTGTGTTAAATGCAAGAAATATTGTTCTTCTAAACAATTGGATACCATTGCTCTTATTTCTTATAGCAACATCACCTAGACCCAATTTTCTTCTTCCGTTGCCCCTACAGACAACCCAAACCACTAGTTCTTGGAGTATACCAACTGAAACCGGAGGTACTGTGAATGACAATGAAGATCCATCTCAACGATGACTGAACCATTCTGGTATCTCATTGATAGCAACGACAATGTCATACTGTTTACCCTGGCACAATTCCTGTTTTAATGAAAATTGATTAAATTTTTAAACATTTTTTGTTTAAAATATAAATTTCAATTGACTTTGCTTCTACCGGATGTTTTAACAAATAATAAAACTAGCTTCGACCAGATGTTTATAACATCCGAATCGAATGTTGCAAACATCTAGTCAAGCTTAAACCGGTTGTTATTAATTGTTGAAACATCCGATTAAATAGACAGTCATTGTCTTTTGTTTAAACAATCGCATTGAAAAACCACATCCTAGTTTATATATATATATATATATATATTCAGCTATGTATGCATGTGTGCATGCATGGAAGAGAGAGAGAGAGGGAGCGAACCTGAAAAATGCTCTTCTTAAAATTATTTGATAAATTATTGCAGTCTTGAGACAAAATACCCCAGCTACTATGCACCCTTTCGAAGCCTTGAATCTCTCTTAAATTTTGGCAGCCAGATAGGTACAATTGGGGTCTTGATGTTGTCTGAATTGGCAGTCTCACTCTTTCCAGTGACGAGCAGTTTTCTGCTTGCAATGTGTATAAACTTGAGGGAAGCTCTGGGATTGATAGAAGATTTGAGCAGTTTTTAAGCCACAAATTCTCAAGCTTAGAAAGGCCACCAATATTAGAAGGAAGATTGAAGAACTTGTTTCCGGATAAATTCAAAAATTCCAGAGAGGACAAACTCCCAAAATCTGTGGAAATAGACTCTTCAGACAATCCACTATAGCTAAGATCTATTTCTTTCAATGAGCTCAAACCAGTAACAGTTGATGGCAGCAAAACTTTGGAGTTTAAACTTCTGGGTGAAAGCCATGACGAGAAGAGTGAAAGACAAGAAGCAGGTGGTACGTCCTGTTTGTAATTGTATCCAGACAGTGATAGTTTCTCGAGGTTCTTCAAATATCCGAATGAAGAGGGAAGTTGTTGAATTGCAGTTCCATTTGCAAGCAACGTAGTTAAGGATTCCATGTCACCCACGCACTCTGGCAATTTCTCAAGTTTTGAGCAATTCGTGACATTCAGAGTTTCAACAGATTTTAAGCTACCCATGCTTTCTGGAAGAGTCTTTAGTCTGCAGCAGCCCTCCAAATTCAAGAAAACAAGTCTCTCGAATTGTCCGATAGATTGGTGAACCTCGACTAGACTCGAGCAACCTTCAAGCATTAGTTTTTCTAAACTCGAGCTCTGTAAGTTTGGTGTTTTAACAAGGTTCACAGAATAGCTGAGATTGAGGATTTTCAACTTGTTGAGAAACTGTCAAAAGTAATGAGAAAAATGAGAAATAATAATAATAATAATCATGAGAGAACCATTTAAATATGGCTAATTACTTATAAAAGTATTTTGAACTATTGGTTAAAAAAAAGGTTTCAATTTTTTTTTTAATTTAGGTCCCTAATCTTTTTTTTTTAAATCTACAATTAAATTTTTTTACCTCGTCGATCAATTTCAAATGACATGAGCGACACATGGAGGCTTTAAAACAATAACACATGTTGTGAAAATTCTATACTGGACATGTTGTCTGTGACTTCAAGTATCTCCCACATGCATCCAGTGTGATTCAATGAGGCAAAAAAAAACTTAATTGGAGGAAAAAAAAAAATAGAAGGTTGGAGATCCAAATCAGGGAAACAGAAGTTTAGAACTTTTCTTTTGTTGACCAATAATTCAATGTACTCTGTAACCAATTAGCCTTTAAATTTCATCAAGGATAAGAGGGAAATGCATGTATTCACACCTTCATCTCCTTCCACAACTCTTTGATGTGACTCTGCTGCATATCAAGAACAACTACGTTGTCCAACTGAAGATTGGTTGGTAAAGAGTTCAAAGGGCATTCGTGCCAACAAAGCCATATCAACTCTTTCGAAAGATGCTTGAAGGATCCAGTAAGATGTACTCTCTTAATTTGGAGTAGCTGTAAATATCTCATCTTCGTAAATGATTTTGCATCAAGCGATAGAGCTTCTGATTCTTCTACATTTAAAGATAGGCCCTCCACAGCTTTTGTTCCCTAGGAAAATAAAAAAACGATAGAAATGTCAGATGTGATGGCTTGGAAGGTGGTTTAATAGCACAGAGTATGCATCTAAATTCTTACCATTTGCTTTTCAAGTACATCACATGCATCCTCGTAAAGGCAAATTCTGCTGCGTTTGCCAGGATCAGAAGGAGAAATTTCACGAATAATCTCCCTTCCCATGTTTCGTAATAGATCGTGCATGTTAATCTCATTTTGGTGATTGATTGTTATGAGAGACCTTTCAATCAAAACATGCAACCCAATTTCTGGAAAGAAACCACGACCAACTAGTATTTTCTCTGCATATTCTTTATCCTTACCAACAAAAAAGCATGCTATATCAAGAAACATACCTTTTAATTCATCATCATCCAATGTATCAAAACTTATTCTAAGCTTTTTCTGAATCTGAAGGTGTGGAATTTTTTGCAATTTGTCGATAGCACTTCTCCATTCAGGTTTGCTTCTTTTGAAGAGATAAGAACCCAGAACTTCAAGAGCTAAAGGAAGTCCTCCACAGTAATTCACTACTTCATTCAAAAGCTCGACATAATCTTCTACTAGATGAGTTTTCTTGAAGGCATGCCAATTGAGAAGGTAAAGAGACTCCCTTTGACTCATTTTGGTAACCAGAAATTTTTCATCCACTTCAAGTTGATTTAGCAACTGTTCATCTCTGGTAGTAAGGATTATTCTACTTCCAGGTCCAAACCAATTCCGCTCTCCCACCAATGCATCCAATTGTTCTAGTTGACCCACATCATCTAAAACAACAAGAACTCTTTTGTGGCAAAGAGGTTCTTTGATCAAATTGATTCCTTGATCTACGTTACTAATCTTCCAAATATTTGGTTTCAATAAATCACAAAGAAGTTGTTTTTGTAATTGAACTAGACCTTTGAGTTGCTTTGAGGCTTCTTTGATATTCAAAAGAAAACAACTTCCCTCAAATTCACAACAAAGTTGATCAAATATGGTTTTTGCTATAGTTGTCTTTCCTATCCCTCCCATCCCATGTAGGCCTATAATCCGAACATTATTTGCATCAACTCTTAGCAGGGTAATAATATCATCAATACGAGAATTAATTCCTACTAAATACTTAGCATATTTACATATTTGCGTTCCAATTTATTCAACACATCTTCAACAATCTTTGCGATAAATAACGATTCATACCTGTGTATAGCAAACAATGTCATCGATAATAACGAGACAATTTATAAACAAACTCAAAGAAATTTGCTACTATTTAATATTGAAATTCAAAGCTAACCATGCAGGATTAGACAGAGAAAGCCATTTTCTCCTCCTATAATATTGTAGCACAAGGGAAAAAAAATTCTTATAGCAATAAAATTCTTTTAATCGAATATATAGGTACTCTAAGTTGACAATAACATGTAAGGTTTAATCATATATTTTAGGATAAATTACAATAACTCTCGAAGTATTATGGAAATATGACAATCATCCAAAGTTTAAAAATATTACGGAAACCCCCTCAACGCGAGAAAATATTACAAAAATCCCTTTTGTACCCAAAACGGCCTTAATTATTGTAAATAAACAATTAAACTAAAATCTTAAAATAATAGAGAAAATATATAAAAAAAGGACATATTTATTATTTTAGTAGATGAATAATAATATTAAATTTACTACTTAATTTCAGTCAATCTTAGTTTTTTTTTTTTTAATATTCTTTCTATAATTTATTAATTTTTTATTTTAAAAATTTTAATATATATTTCTAACCAGTAATCACTAATTAATCACTGACATTTTGGGGTATAAAAAAATGTGTCAAATTTTCAAACTTTTAGATGGTATCTGTAAGTTTTTGTGAGGATTATTGTAATTGATACTATATTTTATCCTCTTTTTTTGGGCATACTTTAATGCTATTTGTCTACTTCTTTTTTTTTTTTTTTTTTTTTTTTTTTTTTTTATAAAGTGAAAAATGATATTATAGGCAGAAACCAGCTGAGCACTGGTAAGAAAAAAAATTACAACCAAGCTAAGAAGTAATTAGATCTTCGTAAACTATTTTTAGCTAAAAAGTTAGCCATATTTCTTTTCTTTTTGAATATATATATATTAAAAAAAACAGATTTAAACACAAAATCAAATTAGAAATATCTTTAAAACTATTCTCAAGTTATAACTAATTATCAATTTATTGTATTTCTACTAAGTGTATGGTATCCAATCGTTTAGTATCTATATAACATGGTCAATGATGATTACGTGCTCGTGATCCTAATCTCCAATTACATATATGATTCAAAAGATGGTTATGTTACTTTCTGGCATATTTTCACACGTGAAAATTTTTTAAATTTGAAAATTATACTAACTCACACCACCTTTGATTTATTTCATTTCAAATTAGAAGAGAGAATGATGTATTGCAAATTAAACATATAACTGTATCTGGAATAAGAAATTTGGAGATATGTACCCATTTGCCAAACTTCTGATATCCCATCCAGATAGATTTCCAGCCAGCAAAAGAGCTTCTCTCCATTTGTTCACCTTTTCCTTCGAGAATATGTCTTCATGTCTATCAAAAGCTTTTGCAAAACTTCCTTTCTGTTTTCGAACATCTGATGGATCTATATCATAGAATATAGGAAGAACAAGCTGGCCCATAGTACGTTTGCACTCAAGAATCTTTACAAGCTCGTCAAGGCACCATCTAGAGGAAGCATAGTCTTTGGAAAAGACCAATATAGAGATCCTTGAATCCTCAATAGCCTTGAGTAGTTGTGGGCCGATTTCTTCTCCTCTAGGGAGTTCATCATCATCTCTAAAAGTATGAATTCCTGCTTGGATTAAGGCAGTATAGAGATGATCAGTAAAATTCTTGCGAGTATCTTCTCCTCTAAAACTTAGAAAGACATCATAGGACCATCCAGGTCTAGAGGAAGAGGGCTTGCAGTCGGAGGACGAAATGGCAGCCATATGTAAAGACAATTAATGTTTACTAGTAAATGTTTCTTTTGTAGAGGAGGAATATTGTTTTCTTGCAAGGCATGCAATAGCAATGCAGTTATGCAGTATAAATAGGAAAAAGGTGGTGCATGTATCTACCGATCAAAGACAAAAATATAGGAATATATCTATTAATTTACAAGAAAATTACCTAGAACTTCTATGGAAGTAAGAGACCAATTATGTAAAGTTTCCTCTTCCAGCAATGATGAGTGAGATTGTACATTTTTCTATTATTGGGTCAAGGATATCAAGATTTAAATCTTTGCCTTTACAAATGCTTCTAAACGTGGCTTAAGTTCTTTGGCCAAAAGGTTGTGTAAAGATCTAGATTTCGTAAAGAAGTTGAATTTACTCCAGCATGGTTTCACACTAAAGGAAAGGGGTTAGGGTTGTTTATCTTTTATTTCTTTTTCCTCAGCTAAACAAGTTTTCGCGTCTCCCTGTTGTATGTTATTTTTAATAATAATAATAAAAAAAAAGGTTCGAATTCAAGATTTTTTGAAGAGGAAAAGGTTCGAATATCAATTTATCTACAACTTATTGACTTCCTGTTGTATGTTGCTTAGTCTTCAACGGAAAGATCAACATTAAATTCTAAGGGTTTTTTTTTTTTTTTTTTGCTCATTGGCTTCCTGTATGTTGCCTAGTCTTCAATACAAAGGGAAAGATCAATATTAAATTTTGGGTTAATTTTTTTATTATTATTTTTTTATATAGTTTTTACTTGCAAATTAAAGTAGTTTAACCTAAAAAAAACTTAATTTTTATGTTTAGCTCAAATCCAACTATTCAAACATCGATGACATGATACGATCCTAGCGATAAATAAGCATTCTTCTTCTGTTATAAATACTAACCTTATAGAAATTATGAAGGAGCTTTTGGCATTTTTGCAATATTTTAATTTTTTAACCCTCAGCAATATTTCTAAATTTTCTTTATCTTCTCATAACTCTTCCACTCACACACTAGAAATAACCTACACTCTATTTGCTTGCATTTTAATCATCCACCTGCTTGTCACTCAATTTATGTCTTATTAGCATTGTTTACTCTCATGCCGCTCACTATTTGTACTTATAATACTTTATTAGTATTCATTATTTTCACAAGTTACAACACTAACTCTATATAAGCTTACATTCAGAACTATTATAAACTAACAGTAAGATATTAGGGTTGCTTTTAATTTTAATTTTATAACTTACAAGGTGGTACGTTGGTTTGAGGAGTTGGAGAAAAACTTGTGAGATCATAACTCAAGTCCTCCCCTACCATCTCTCTCAGTGTGTAAATCCACCTTTTCCCAACCATGTGGTCACCATCTACGCCTAAGGGGTCTTTTTCTTTTTTCTTTTTTCAGTGGTGTATTCTAGTTTAAATTAGTCTTTACACTAACTTATACTAAGTTCATCAGGCTCTGGACTAAATCAATGTCGAATAACACCTTATTTTTAGTCCATTCTAAGGATTTTATTTTATTTTATTATTTATTTATTATTATTATTTTTATAAAAGTGGATCGATATATTCTAATTAAGGATATTATTCATTAAATCTATCAACAGCCTATATCCAACGCCCAACGTTTCAACTAGCTTGTAATCATGATAAGTGGGTACGATGTGCTTGAGAGTTTATCTTTTGTATCTAATAGGTGTGGGTTTAACATCTTGGTCTTCAAAAAAAAAAAAATATTATGGATGAATTACGAAAAACACCTTATAGTTAGATGGCGAGAACACTCAACATTTTTATTTTCAAAAAATTACATTTTACACTCTAAATTTTTAACGATAAAATTTAGACAGATGAAGTATAAAATAACGACAACACTCTTATATATAAAGGGTAAATTACGAAAATATCATATAGTTAGATGACAGAACTACTCACACCTCTATTTTTTAAAGAATTACACCTTATATCTTGAATATTTTACGATAAAATTTTAGACAGGTGAAGTGTAAAATGATGACAATACCTTTATATATACAATGAGACTTCTCATACTAGTTAAGAATTATCAACCTTATTCGTCACTCTCTCATGTTCATCTCTCTCTCTCTCTTGAAGAGAGAGAAAGTAAATTGCTTGAAAATTAATGGATTTCTTTTGTATTTTTGTTAATTAAACATTTGTGTGGCTATTTAGGATTGAATTGAAAACGAATCAAGAATGATTCAAAGTTGAAATGAGGTATGTTATTGCATGTATGTTACAATGTCAACCAAATTTTTAAATACGGATGTATTTAATCCATAAAATATTGGGATTAACATTATATTTATCTAATTCCAAGCAAAATCCATCAAGATTTTGGGTGTTTTGAAGGTTTTTTAGGTGTGTTTGAAAATCTCAAAAAAAAAAAAAAAACTATAATTTTTTAATGGTTAATTTTTGGTTTGAAACAATTTGTTTATTTTTTAATTGGTTGTTTCAACCAAAACTCATTAAAAATTAGGATTTCTAAAGTTTTTTAAGTTGTTAATTAGAAACTTCCAAAAACATCCTAATTTTTAGTCCTTATGATCAAAACTTTTTACAATCAAATCCCTACTTTATTACTCTTGATCAAGTAATGATCCATTATGTAATTTTTTTTAGTATAATGTTTGTAATATAATGAAGTATTATCAATAAAACTAAAGTAAAACTATTTTTCATTATTCATTCACTATTTGAAATACTATTCACACTCTCACAAATCACTATTCCTTTCACTATGCAAGTCATTATTTTAACACCTTGGTCATTAATTTTTCTATTTTTTTTTTCAATTTCAAACTTTAATTTTATTTCATTTTATCGTAGTGTTTTTTGTTAATTATTTTTATTATTAAAATTTACTACTTTAATTTGTTGTTTTTTTAAATTCTTTTTCTTTTTCAATTTCAAACTTTAATTCGTTAATTATTTTTATTATTTAAAATTTACTACTTTAATTTATCATTTTTTTAAGTTCTCTATTTGTTTTTCAATTTCATACTTTAATTATATTGTGATTTGGTCCCATTTTGTTTTAGTATTTTTTATTAATTATTTTTATTATTTAAAATTTAATACTTTAATTTGTCATTATTATTTTTTTTAAATTCTCATCAAATTAATTTAAAATTATATTCACTAACATTTTTTAATTTATTTTTCTATATGTATGGATTTTGGAATAAATTTTTAGAACATGATTATTTTTTGTTTTGAACAATAGATTTATATACCTTTTAAATTAAAATGGTATGATTAATATATATAATTTGTCTCAAATACATTTTTAGGTTAAAAGTGTATTTCAAATAATTTTTTCTCGTTTTTTATATTATTTAAAATTTACTATATTTAATTTTTTATTTTTTTTAAATCTTTTTTATTTTATTTCAAACTTTGATTATATTGTGATTTGGTCCCATTTTGTTTTAGTTTTTTTTGTTATTTTTTTTTATCATTTACAATTTAATACTTTAATTTTTCATTTTTTGAAATTCTCATCCAATTAATTTAAAATTATATTTATTGATAGTTTTGATTTATTTTTCTATAATTATGGATTTTGGAATAAAATTTTTAGAACATGATTATTTTTTCTTTTGAAAAATAGATTTAGATAATTTTTAAATTATAGTGGCATGATTAATATATATAATTTATCTGAAATATATTTTTAGATTAAAATTGTATTTCAAATATTTTTTTATTTTTTTATATTTTTTAAAATTTACTACTTTAATTTTTTATTTTTTTAAATTCTTTTTTTTTCAATTTCAAACTTTGATTATATTGTGATTTGGTCCCATTTTTTTTTAGTATTTTTTTGTTAATTTTTTTATTTAATATTTACTATTTTAATTTGTCTTTTTTTTTTTAAATTCTCATCCAATTAATTTAAATCATATTTACTGATAATTTTGATTTATTTTTCTATATGTATGGATTTTGGAATAAATTATTAGAAGATGATTATTTTTTCTTTTGAAAAATAGATTTATATAACTTTTAAATTATTGTGGCATGATTAATATATATAATTTGTTGAAAATAAATTTTTAGATTAAAAGTGTATTTCAAATAATTTTTTCTAGGGTTTTTTTAGAAAAAAAACCCAAATTAATTAATTAATAGTTGAAAGTCAAATATAAAATAAAAAGAAAATGGTTGCTCTGCAGCGTGAGGCTTGTATTCAAGGACTAGCCATGCATAGCATAGAAAAAAATATTTAAGAAGGAGGAAAAAAAAAGAAAAAGAAAGCACATTTTTTTATTAATTTTTTTCTTCTTTATATAATCAAAATTAATCGAAATCAAATTTAAAATAATTTTTATTTTAGTCTATTAACTTCAAATTTTATCAATAGATTTCTTCCAAGTTAACTTTTTTTTAAAAATAATATTTTTTGTTCAAATTGCTGCAATCGGAAAGGTTAGCTAAAGAGTAAAATGAGGGATTATATTGTTTCAAAGGAAGGATATGCTTTCTTGCAATAATTATCAAAGACAAAAGTTATCAGTTGCACTAAAAAACAACAAAGGCAATTCTTTAGCAGGAATCTTTAGTGGTGATTTCGTGGTGGTAGCTGATCCATTATTATATTTCTTACTTTACAATTAAAGCAGTGTAAACACGTTAAAAAGTTCTTTGGACAGAAAAAGCAGTTTGATAAGTGTCTTTATTAAAGAAATTGGACATGGAAATTGCTGTTCTGTTTTCACTTGACTAAAATGTTTTTTTGACAAACCTAAAGAAATGCTCCCTGATTACATAGATAGTTTCAATTTTACTACTAAATAAATTTTTTGTAACAATTTTAATTACCTCCAAACTTTTATAAATTTTCAATTGAGAACTTTTATTTACTTTTAAAGCTTTCCATCTACATTTCCATTCAAATTGTATTTTTATTTTGTATGAAACTAGTCTAATGCTTGGACTTTGTAGCATGTTCATATATATTTTTTTTAACGAATAACATGAGAGGTTCCAAATCTTATAAGAAATTTGATAAAAAAAAAATTTTGGAACAGAAAACAATTAGAACTGTTTAAAAAGTTAATATTGAATTCAAAAGTCAATACTGATTAAAGGACTTTTTCATTATTATTAATACTATAGGAATTAATTAATTAATTATGATAAACATTATGGACTGAGTTATAATTAACTCCTTAGTATTTTTTTCTTTAAATTGAGTTTTGTTTTATTTAAAAAATTGTATTTTCTGCAATACTAGGAAATTGCATAAGAATAAAGCCTTTGAAATTCGTGTAGATCGATGTCACGAGGTCAAATTTGCGTCACAATTTTAACCCGAGTGCGGCAGCCTAGTTCCCCTAGACTTCAGCCTTTTTCCTCTCAATTTACTCTCGTGTTTGGCCTACCGACTATGGTGTTTCACACACCCAAGAGGCTTTCCCCAAAGTCCTGCAAACAATAGGCAACACGCTACAATAGACAAGAATAAATCAAAGTTTGCACACAATATTACAGGAAAACTCCCAACCTTTTATTAACCCGGTAACAAAGGAAATACACTTTGATTTCAATGCCTCTCTATCTATCTCTCTCTCTCTCGTGCAAAGCACATCCCCCTCTCCTTTTTATAACAAAGGATCATTGGAAGTTACATAGGAACTGCTATCTAACTGCTCCCTATAAATCTGGACAGATTGGCTAGAGGCAAGTAGCTGCCGATAACTCGCCTCTTGATAACTCGCTCCTTCTAGAACTTCCTTTGGCCTGCCACCCCACGGACCCTTTAGGCATCCGACCGAGCCCTCTCTCTCAGTCTGCTGTGTTCCCACACAACTTGGACAGCCCTTTATCCAAGTCTGGAGTTGTGCCGAACATGAACCCGTTGTTCGCATCCTTGGCGCACGCAACCCTGCGCCTACGCCTATCCTTGGCGCAACCCTGTGCCTATCTTTGGCGCGCGCAACACTTGTGCCTACGCCTATCCTTGGCGCAACCCTGCGCCTAGGACTGTGACAACTGACGTCTAAAGAGGGAGATAAACGGGTCAAATGGGTTGGGCGTGGACTGACCTTTTGATGAAAAGAAATAAAAGTGTATGGCATTTATTCGGTAGATTCCGTTTTCTTCTGAAGTTTGATCATAGTCATCAAACCAATATGAAGCTGATAGACATGCTGTGCTGGCGTAGATATTCTGAGTGTGAGGTTTCTTTGGAATTTCGGAAAAGACTTGATGATAGTCATCTTCTCCGACAAGATGGCATTATGTGAAGTCTGAATGAAACCTTTCCATGGATCTTGCCTTGTATAACATGAGATCCTTTCTGCTAAACCTGTATCTCTGACCATTAACTTCCCTGTATTTTTCTGCATATATGTAGAGCGCTGATGAAGAAAGGGTCGTATTGTAGAGAGGGCTTTTTGATTAAAAACTTAACGTGCCCCCGATCTACCCTTTCTGTAATGAAACCTTCTGAGTCTTCTATCTGGAGATTATCTTGGCCTAAATCAAATCTATCCTTAATTATTTCTGTTAATATATCTGGAAATCCTTCGGGAATAGTTTCTCCCATGAGGAGGATTCCTTTTACTAAATCAAGGTCTAGTAAATCTCTGATGGTGAAATTAGATTTTATTTTTATTTTTTTGGTTAAATTTTTTTTTAACCTTTTTTTTTTTTTGGCAAAATGTTTTATAATTGCTTATAAAGAAAATTACACTTACACATTGAAATTAATAAAAATATAATAAAAACATTCAATTTCAAATGAAATAAAATCCATCTCAAAATTAAAATTCGATTGCGTTTTTTTAACCATTCCATCAATTAAAAATATGTTCAAACTTACCGATTTTTTTTTGGTAAAATGTTTTGTAATTGCTTATAAAGAAAATTGCACTTACATGTTAAAATTAATAAAAATATAATAAAAACATCCAATTTCAAATGAAATAAAATCCAAGTCAAAATTAAAATCCGAAGCACTTAAGCCTTTATTATATACACACACGTGTGTATATCTTGTATACTAAGACATTAGTGCTTGATTTAACAATTGTGTTTTCTTAGCTTATTTGCTTGAAACAAGATTCGAAATTTCAGTAATTATAATTTACTTAATTGTAGTGGGGAATGTTTACATGGTAATACAACTCTTTCGTAAAACGCACATTAGATGTGATAGTTAAAAAAAGAAGAAGAAGCTATAATCCCTACATACATTTAAAGAGTCAAAACTCAAAGACGATTTTGCGAATAGACTTCATCAAGTATGTATATAACATCATTCTGAAAAACTAGTGACAAAAGTCAAATCTTATGTATCTTAATTAGTACATTAATATTCAGCAGAAAAAAAGAAAAAGAAAACGAGGGTATATTTGTAAACAACTTCTCTTCATAACTGCCCCCTAGATTCCAACTGTGGAGAACATACATACCTGTTTACACACAAGCCAACAATTTAAGGGTTTCTTTAGCTCAAGTTGTCATAATTTTTTTGTTATTTATCTCGTATTGTTCAATTTGTTGGTCCGGTAATTTATAAGCAATTATTGAAGTCGAATTACTCTTCCATCGTCGATACATTTGTCTCCAAAATCTAATACGAGTACACGAACTTCCAAAGATTTTCACAGGAATAAATGAATACGCAACTGCTTAAGTAGAGGTTCAGGAAATGAATTGCAAGAAGCCATTTCCAATGAATAATCACCTTCATTATCATTATTATAATCCTTACTTTACAATTAAAGCAGTGTAAACTCATTAAAAAGTTCTTTGGACTGAAAAAGCAGTGCTGATAAGTTTCTTTATCAAAGGAGTTGAAAATGGAAATTGCTGTTCTGTTTTCATTATAGACTAAAAGGTTTTTTCTTTTTGGACAAACCTAAAGAAATGCTCCCTGATTAGATAGATACTCTGAATTTTACGACTAAATAAATTTAATTACGTACCAACTTTCATACTTTTTCAATTGAGAACTTTTATGTACTTTCAAAGCTTTCCTTCTACATTTCCATTCAAATTGTATTTTTATTTTATATGAAACTAGTCGAATGCTTTAAATTTGTGGCAGGTTAATTATCTTTTATTAAATAACATGAGAGGTTCCAAATCTTATAAGAAATTTGATAAAAAAAGAAAACTTTGGAACAAAAAACAACTATAACTGAATTGTCTATGATTCTAGAGAGTTAATACTGAATTCAGGAGTCAATACTGATTAAAGGATTTTTTCATTATTATTAAAACTATAGGAATTAATTAATCGATTATGATAAACAACATGGACTGAGTTACAATCAACTCCTTCTTGGCTTTTTCTTTAAGCTGAGTTTTATTTTATTTAAAAAATTGTATTTTCTATGATTCTAGCGAATTGCGCAAAGATAAGAAGTTTGAAATCCGCGTAGACTGACATGCAAGTAGGGAGAAAAACGGATCAAATGAGTTTACGCGTGGACTGACTTTTTGGATGAAAGGAAATAAGTTTTTTGACTTTTTGACTTTCTATGATTCTAGCGAATTTCCAATACATTTGATGTTTAAAATGATTCGAGCCCAAAGAAGCATATGGAAGCGTTGTTCGTCAATGTAGCTAAAATGATAAGTCAGTTAATGTAACTCAGCAATTCAAGACTTCAAGGACTTAAAAGCAGTGTAAACATGAACTTTTGTAAGGAATTTTATCAAACATTTGATATGCAAGGTGAGAAAAACTTACTTGGTAGAAATTAACAAGAAAACGTAGGAGAGTTTCCAAGGTAGTTTCTTGGTAGCGGACTGAAATGTAGGCCATGGGTGGGGCAACATGTTTCTGGTGCCAACCAGTTAGCATCTTCGTCTCTTCACAGGCCAACAGTTACGCGTTTTCGTAAACCTTCCTGTACTGTGGGATATATAAATTGAAGGAGTTATACTCGGATGATCCAGAAGATGTGACTATGCATCGTGGTATGTAGTTGATGGCCTTGGACTTTGGATTTGGGCCAAATAAAGTTTAATTTCTAACAGTTATTGCCCACGTATTCCATGCCCTGAATCTCTATTAAATTTGTGCACCTTTTCACATCCAATAATGGTAGTCTTTTGAACTGAATTGGTGTTCTTACCTTTTTAATTGATGTGCAATTATTGACAAACAAGATCTGTACACTTGATGGATCGGAAGCCTGAGATTGATAGAAGCTTCAAGCAATATTCCTCAACCCTCAAAGAATGAAGCTTAAGAAGGCGGTCAATGCCAGAAGGCAAACTGAAGAATTTGTTTCCAGGATATATGTTCATTCTTTGGATGCTCATAAACGGTCCAAATTATCAAAAAAATTAATTATAGTATCAAAATTAAAAATTTTAGAGGTCTAGGGGGTTATCCCAAATTGCCAAAATTTCAGCTTGTTTTTAGATCATTTGACAGTCATATTATATATAGTTTAGGACAAGTAATATTTTAAAGCACGGAGACTTATGTGATTTTGGGTTAAAATCTGAGAATTTATTTAACCATCAGAATAAAAGGCCACCAACAGCAGGAACCAACCAGTGGGCCAAATCCACAATTTTTTTTTCCAGGCTAAGAAGAAAAAACAAGCAAAACAACAAAAAAAAAAAAAAAAAAAAAATCTTTAAAATAATTTGCCAATTTCCTTGCTATTTTCGCGCATTCTGTCTTTATTGTCAATCCTATATGTGCCTGACTAGCGTATTGTAAACAAACGTTACTATTTGTTATAACCCAAAACTTCCCCCTTTTATTTTTCTTATTTTATTTTTGTTTTTGTTTTTTTGATTTTATCTTATTCCTATTTTGTCTTAATTATTTGAATTAATCCAAAAAAAAAAAATACAAAAAAAAAAAAAAAAAAATATATATATATATATATATATATATAACATGAAAAGAATTTAACTGTCAGGGGCATACTTGAATCAAATAAAATCATAATTAGAGTAATTGGGGCACAATTGAAATAATTATAAATTTCAGGATTAAAATAACATCATACAAGGACCCAATAAAAAACGTTCAGGGACTACAATGACTCTTCTAAGGATTACAAATGAAACAAATCTAAACCTACAGGGCCCTAATTGAATATTGAGAGCAGATGACAGGGCCAATTCAGGATCAACCCGAACGACCTGTCGTCCAGGTGCTCCCAAATTTTGGCCCTGCAACCCCTAGACAAAGCCTTTGTAGACCTACAAACTCAATTATTATTTTCCAAGTCATTAAGCTCACGTTTCAGAATATTTTTAAAGAATGAAACAGAGCCGCTAGAGACGTCATTGTTTACAAAGTCATATAATTTCTGAAAGAGAGATTGCTTTTTCATTACTATAAAATGAACAAAGATAGCATTCTTGGCCTTCTTTGCTTTTACAACCCAATAAAAGTATGCAGCGTTTAGATCACCCACTGTTAGCAAAATAATTCTGTACTTCTGCTTAAAATGGATTCCTCTGTAAATTTTAATGAAAGTACTCATAGACCAAATCCTTCTCATCCGTAGTTAATGGATGAGAAGGAAAAAAACAACAGATTGCATTCCAAAAAATAAAAAAGTTCAGCCTCGACATCTTTTCATGACTTTTGCTTGTTTATCTGGTTTTACAGATGGAGAAAGAACAATAGCTAAGCTAAAGTACTGGAGTATGGAGATGACTAGTGAAAGAGGGCTAACGGTGGAGGATACAAAAGAAGTCTAGAGTTTGGGAGAGATTTCCTAAATAGGATTGTATGTGAGTTTTTGGATGCAAGCCAAGGGTTCAAGCTGCTCTCCTGGTCAAGTGGTGTTCATGGCGGGGCAAACGAGGGTGCTCCCAGCTGATAGTGACTTCTCAGTTTCTGTGGATATTCTGGTACCAGTAGTTATTGTGGTTGCGTGATGTTCAAAAGTTGCCCTTTTCCTTTTTCACAATGTGGTAATAGTTACTTTATGGCAATTCTCTTCTTCAATGCATTTATATTAGTACAAATTTAGTTGTTTATTGTCCATACTTTTTTGCTGTAATAAGGCCATTGTCAGTTGCAGTTATAAGAACTCGATTCAATTATGCAAGAGGAATTTGTGTGAGTCTACATGTGTTTACTCATTCTTGAAGACGTGATTGAACTGAAGAATATTGCACAAAATAGGTGTTCTAGGCTCACCCTGGAAACAAATTGTTACCCACTCACAGCTCAATTCAACTCCACTCCATTCACTTAAACCTCATTCTTCATAATATCCAGTCATATATGCACTTGCATATTTTGTTTTTCATTCTTTCTTTTTTTTTAATCAATTTGATAAATCAATATATATATATATATATATATATATATATATATATTTGGTTCTTTTCATGGTTTTTACTTGTTATCTGGTTTCAGACTTAGGAAGGACAATAACAAAGCTGAATTGCAAGAGTATGGAGATGACAAGAGCAAAGATTAATAATGGAGGATACCAAAGACGTCCAAAGTTCGGGAGATATTTCCTAAGTAGGTTTATATGTTAGTTTTTGCATGCAGGTCAAGGGTCCAAGCTGCTCTCCTCTATTTGGTTTTTATGTTTGATCCATTTGCGAAGGGGTCAATGTTCAGTTTAGGAATTGTTTTAATGAGTTTTTGGAGTTGTTCAGCCATAAACACATTTCATTGTCCAAGTGGTGCTCTACTTAATATCTTGCTTGCCGAGTAACAACGTTGTGTTGCTTGCCGAGCAAGATGAGCACCTAGAATAAAAGGCCTCTATGTAACAATCTGGGAATCGTAAATGCTGTAGCCTTTTACTTTCAGCAACTAATAGCAGGCTCATAAAAAGGAAAAAAAAAAAAATCATCATCCCAAACCATTTATTATTTTACACTGAATTACTTTTTAAGCAATAATAACAATCCAATAATAATTTTGTCTTCCTAAATCACCATGCCTAAAAGGACAAAAGTTGATGTAGGAGGCTTGCAAGGTTGACTTGAGGTCAAGTCGAAGGATGCTTTAAATATCCCACATAGGCGACATATCGTTCTGGCAACATCTTTAGTAAATAAGTTATCCACTGCTTCCTAGTGGAGGATGCAATTGAACCCAAAAGGGGACGATGATATTGTTGAAGTATCACTCTATCAGTTCCACTTTCGTTGTCAATCTCATCCCTCTCTTCAACATCACCAGAAGATGTTGTTCCTTGCAGCTTCTCAATGTCATGATCCCGTTTCCATTCCGATTCTTGGTTGTCAATCTCATCCTCCTCTTCAACGTCAACAAAAGATGATATTCTTTGGTTATCAATGTCCTTATTCCACTCCCACTTCCACTCTTCAAATGAATCTGGCTCCTCTACTATCACGTGGACCCCAATTTCTTTGAGTTCAATATGAGAAAGACACCATTTGTTCTTATTTATTTGCAGATACAGCTCCAATTCTTCTCCACAATATTCTTCTATTGCTATCTCACCTTTTCTTACATATCTCACCCATGATGAAGTCCCAAAAGTTACTCCTATGCAACTTTTAAACAATTGAATACCGTTGCTGTTATTTTTGATAAAAACGTTGCCTGCTACAGTACTATACATCCCAGATTCAATGACAATCCAAATAGCCAACCCTTGAAAGAATGGAGGTAGATGAAAGTATAATGTACTTTTCTCTTCGCGATAGCTGAACCAATTTGGTATGTGATCACCATTACGAAAATAAATCTCATACCCATAATTATTGTCGCATACCTATATGTTAATTTAAAGGAAAGTTGAAATGTTAGACATTAATAATCAGCATATCTATATGGATTCTCTTCAAGTTAGAATTCATACTAGTTAAATTCTAAGATTTTAAGTTCTATTGAATGCATATGATTATTTCATTTCCCTATAAAAAATGATTTTACCAACAAAAATGCTTTAACTATGGATGAAAATTCAATTGATATTTTAATTTGTTAATTATTTTCATCGATAATTCCATCGTAAATAAGTAGATTATTTTTAAAAAAATAATTTAATTTCGAAAATTATTTATTATTTTTTAAAAAACAATAATTTCCATCACTAAATTAAAAATCCTACAATATATATATGTGTATGTATATGTGTATGTATGTGTGTATATATGCATGTATGTATTAATGTTATGGTTGATTATTTTGTTGATATTGTATTATTATTATTATTATTCTTTTAATTTTGTTATGACAATGTGGTGTTTATCTTATGTTTGATGATAATAATAAAAAAGTCGGGTTTTTGAATTATGGGTTTGTATATAATATGAATTTTTGTAAGTAATATTTTCTTAGGTTCTTTTTTCATTGAATTTAATTGTAGGAATACAAATTTATTAATAACAATAATTAATTTTTTTAATTTATATAATTTTTTTATATTTTCTTATTTTTTCCATTACAGATGAAATTTCATTTTTTTTTAATTGTAGTGATATAAAATCTTTTTTAAAAAATAGATTTGGTTAACCAAAGAGATAAAGCAATATTTTATGAGATTTTAAAATTATAATATAAGTATCAATGTTGGTAGTATATAAAGAAAATAGATTTGGTTAAATTTGAAATATAGGGCAGATTGAGGAATCCTAATAAAATCTTAGCCATTTTATTTTAATTTAAATAACTAAGATTAAACTAAAATGGCAAATCATATTAACATTAATATAGGGCAGGAGACACATGGATAAAAAGGTAGCAGTACCTCAGCAAGACTTCTCTTATGACTTTCCGATAAAAGGTAGCAGTCTCTAGAGAAAACCCTCAAGCCATCATCCATACCTTTCTTGCCCTCGATCTCCATTAAATTTAGGCACCCAACTGCAATCAAACATGATATTTTTGACTGAATTGGCAGTCTTATCCTTTCCATTGATTTGCAACCACCTGCATTCAATCTCACTAAACTTGAGGGAAGCTCTAAAATTAATAAAAGATTTAGGCAATTCCCAACACTCAACTCCTGGAGCCTAGGAAGGTGGCCAATTCCAGAAGGTAGATTGAGGAATTTGTTTCCTGAGAAATCCAATTCTTCAAGAGAGGACAAACTCCCGAAATCAACACAATTCCTTGCACTTTCAGACAAATCAAAGGAAGCAAGTTTTAGTTTTCTCAAAAAACTCCAACCAGCTAAAGAAGTTGGCAGCGAAGCTTTCCAATTGCAATCTCCTGGTGAAAGCCATGATGAAATTAGTGAAACCCAAGATGTAGATGATGGTGAGTCCTGATTGAAACTGTATCCACCCAATGATAACTTCCTGACATATTTAAAACGTACAACTGAAGAGAGAACTTGCTCATTTTCAATTCCATCTACCAACAGCTCAGTCAAGGATTCCATATCACCCATGCGCTCTGGCAACTTCGCAAGTTGTGAGCACCTTGAAATGTTCAAAGTTTCAAGAGATTTTACATCACAAATGCTTTCTGAAAGAATCTTTAGCCTACAGCATCCCTCCAAATTCAAGAAAACAAGCATATTCAAATGTCCAATAGATTGTGGTACCTCAACTAAACTAGTGCAATTTTTAAGTACCAGTCTCTCCAAATTGGAAAGTCCCAAGAAGTTTGGCATTTTAGCGAGGTCCTTGCAATAGCTGAGATTGAGGATTTTTAACTTTTTGAGGATCTGGCAAAGCATTAAATAAGCAAAAGAACTCAAACAAAGCTAGTAAAACGTAAAAAGTAAAATTTAATTTTTGAAACTGCATTTTACATACCTTGGTCTCCTTCCAGAGTTCTTTGATGTTGCTGTACTGCATATCAAGAATAACAAGATTGCTCAGTTCAAAATCGGATGGCAAGGATTTCAAAGGGCATCCATGCCAACACAACCATATCAACCCTTTGGGAAGAGTTTTGAAACATCCAATGAGATGTAAACCGTTAATCTTGAGTAATTGTAAATGTTTCATCTTTGTAAACGATTCTGTGCTCAAAGGTTCCACTTTTGATGTTGTCACATCCAGTGCAAGACCCTCTACAGCTTTTGTTCCCTGAAAAACACCAAAATTCAGTAGAACTCTCATATGATTGGTTGAAAATAGATTTATACAATGGCATTTCTTTAAAGATCAGCAGAGAGTTCGGAAAAAAAAAAAAACAAAGATACTACTGACTGATTTTACATAGAACATTCTGAATAAACATTTAGTTCTTACCATCTGCTTGATGAGGACATTCCATGCATCTTCATGATGCCAAATTCGATTGCGTTTTCCCGGATGGTCAAGAGATATTTTACGGATAATCTCTCTTCCCATATCCCGTAATAAATCATGCATGTCTATCTCACCCCAATAATTTACTGTTATTAAAGACCTTTCGATGAGAGTTCCCAAATCATCTTCTGGATTGAAACCACAACGGGCTTGAAGTACTTTTGCTACATATTGTTTCTCTCTACCAATAAAAAAACATGCAATATCAAGGAATGTCTTTTGTAGTTTATCGTCATCCAGTCTGTCAAAACTTATTCTAAGCTTTTCTTGAATATCATGGTTTGGGATTTGTCTCAATTTATCAATGAAACTTTCCCATCTAATTTTGTCTTTCTTAGACAAACAAGATCCCAAAACTTCAAGAGCCAAAGGATGTCCTCCAGAGTAATTAACTACTTTGTTCGAGAGCTCCAAATAATCCTTTGGTGGACAGGAGTCCCTGAAGGCATGCCAGCTGAAAAGCTGAAGGGACTCATCTTTATTCAATAAATCAACTTGATATTGTACTATTTTCTGAAATCGATCCAGCAAATTCTCATTTCTAGTCGTAATGATTATTATACTTCCAACACCAAACAAACTTCCCTCTCCCACCAATGCATCTATCTGTTTCTGGTTCTCAACATCATCAAGTACAACAACAACTCTTTTGTGATAGAGTCGTTCTTTGATCAAGCTGATTCCTCTGTCTTCATTATTGATCTTCCAACTGTCTCTTTTCAAAATTCCGCAAAGAAGCTCTTCCTGTAATTGAACCAAGCCATTGGATTGTTGTGATTTTTCTGCAACATTCTTAAGAAAGCAACCTCCCTCGAATCCATTGCAGAGTTGATTAAATACAACCTTTGCTATAGTTGTCTTACCAATTCCAGACATCCAATGTATACCAAGAATTCGGACATAATTTTTTTCAGTTCTTAGCCAAGCAAACACATTATTAACACGAGAATCAATGCCTACTAGGTGCTCGGCAACGTGGATGTATTGGCGATCAAAGTTATTCAACACATCTTCAACAATATTTTGAATAAATGCTGATTCGTGCCTGTTCATAGATATATAAACGCAACTCATCAATGGCAACTCGTTAGTTTCAAGAAATGGAAAAAACAGAGGAGATTTGAAGTTTAGAGAGCGTTGCGAGAGAAAGACTTTGTTTGAATAAGGCAAGTAGCAACAAAGTAACTCACATAATTTAATCAACAGCCCTAACATTTAAATAGGCTAAGAAACTGAACTACAAGCAGCTCATGGGCCGAAAATAAAGCCACTAGAGCCATGATCCAAAACACGTTAAAAAACTTCCTAAAGACTAGGACAACCCACTAAGTACAATTTAAATAGATAACCGTAGCAATAAGAAAATCACGTGCGATCCCGGAGCAAATTTTAACACGCCTCCTTGCTTTAGGAACCGCAAACTCCAATTCTTTGCCTAAGAAGTTCGAACTTGTTTGTTGGCAAAGGTTTTGTAAAGATGTCCGTGAGCCGATCTTCGGATCCGCAATAAATGAGGCTCACTTCTCCTTCTTTCCGCACTTCTCTTAAAAAGAAAAATTTGATCTTGAAATGCTTGGTTTTTCCATGAAAAACTCGGATTTTGGGAGATTGCAATTGCTCGCTTGATTGTCCACAAACACCTTTGTATCATTCGAGTTGCTTCAAATGTAAATCACAAAACAACTTCCTCAACCACAATGCTTGATTCATCGCTCGCTGTAGCAGCAACAAATTCGGCCTCTGCAGATGGATCGTGCTACAATCTCTTGCTTCTTGGAACTCCATGAGAAAACGCCCGATCCTAGGCTAAAACAATACCCGGATGTACTCTTCATGTCATCCACGGATCCACCCCAATCGATGTCGGAAAATCCTAATAACTTGAAGTTTTGACACTTCTTGAATTTTACACCTAAGTCAATAGTTCCTTTGATGTATCCGATGACTCGTTTTGCGGCTTTAAGATGCACTTCACTAGCACAATGCATAAAACGAGAAAGAATGCTTACCGCAAAAAGGATATCCGGCCCGGTTGCCGTTAGGTACATTAGGCAACCGATCATGCTTCGAAATAGCCTTCTTCAACTTTGTCCGTGCCGTCCTCCTTACTTAAGCTCTCCTTTGGATTCATTGGAGTAGCCATTGCCTTGCAATCCTCCATATGAAACTTCTTGAGAATTTCTTTGGCATACTTCTTTTGATAGATGAAAACTTCATTTTCCAACTCGCTTAATCTCCATTCCCGTAAAGTATGT